GAACCACAATCATAACTGTAGATTACAGATAGGTCCATGTCGTAATTGCTACCTTAGGGTAATACATTCTCCCCCCTCCCTCCGCATTGTGCAACCTTTGTCGGAAAACCCTTCGTCGTGGGTATCCCCGGAAAAATTTCCGTAATACGACGTTGTCTCGCGCAATAGTCGAGTACGTGCAACGCGAACCATACACTCGCGAATAACACGCCGCGACTGCGAACGAGACGTAACACACCGAACCCTAAGGCAGTTATCTGCTTTAACAAAATTTCATCTCCTGTATCCAGCAGCTGCTCTAAGGGCCGAACCCATTTGAAAGTGGACAACAGACTTTTTTTTATCAGCAGCCTTCCTTTATACCAGCACCTAAAAGCTGTTGCCTACCTGATATTTTCTTTTTTTTTATACATATATATATTGCTTTCTATTTTTTTTATTAACTATTTTTTTATTACCACGAACCTTTTCATTATCATGAATAATTCCATATTATTATCTTATTCTATTTTTAGTTTCAAAACTCTTGCTTAAGATAGCAGATAATTCTTACATACGCGTTACTAAGTTACTTCTAACCATATAATGTGTTTAATTAAAAAATTTAAGTATAAACCTCACCTTTTGTTAAAAACTTTTCCTGATTTATATCAAGTAAAATGTATACGCATTGCAGGATATCAAGTCGGAAGAAAAGATGACAAAATTTGCATTGAATGTTACGATCGCACAAAACCTGAAGGTTATACATCGGTAGATAATCACGGGATCGTGTACAGACAATTGTTCCCCGTTAATTATCAAACTTGTAATCGAGAAATAGCTATGGATATACGTTCAATTTTACTATGCGATAGATGTTTTACGGGTTACGTACACTTTATGAATATTTTTAAAAGACATTGCAGTCAATATTGCTACTCTAGTTTTGGACGCTTATACTTTTGACGTTCTTTGTTTATATTGCAACGTCTTTTCCTGCTCCAAAACGCCAAGTTCGGACAGGGGAGCGTTCAATTTAAATATTCTAATAATTCTGATAGCAAAACGTCAAAGATCGGTAACAAAAGAGTTAATTACTTGTACTTCAGTACTAACTCGCGGTAAAGTTGAGCGCCAGGCGCATGTGAATGCGCCACGATATTACTGAAAACGGTACTTAAGGTAACTTCTCAAAATTTGATAGTGAGTCGCGGGTCTATAGGATGTTTGATCTATAGTTGAGAGAGAAGTAGATAGAGGCCTTGTTTACACCGAACACTTGGTACGCGTATCAAGTACTATATTCGTACCAAAATAGCTTAGTACGATGGTGTAAACTATAACGTATTAAGCTGGTACGATACGTTTCGTGATGGCGTATCGTACCAAAATAGTACGCATATTAAATACAAACATACCGCTGTAAACGCTAGAATATTAAGGCTGCGTTTCAAAAATCGTTGCCAATACTGAAAATCTTTGTATGTTGGTAGTAAAATATCGACTCGCTGCTTTAATCTAATTCTCTTAATCTAATTCTTAAAAAATTATGTCGTGTAAAAAAGGTCCAAATTGGTCAGAACAAGAAACAAGATGTTTTCTGGAATTGTGTATAGAAAAACAAATTTTAGCCATCATGGATGGAAGGAAACATAAACACGTTGAAATATTTAAAATGCTTGAACCAGAAATAGAAAAGAGTAGTTATGGGAAAACAGCAGACCAAATAAAATTAAAATTAAAAAATTTGAAGCTTGCATATTTTAAATGTCGAAGAGACAATAATGTCAGTGGAGCTGCAACATCACGTTGTGCCTTTTATAATGAGTTAGAATTATTATATAGTTGTAGACCAACTGCAGAAGCCAGTTCAAGCAATTCCGGAATTGATACAGCTTCTACAGTTAATGATACAGCTTCTATAGTTAATGGTAAGTTTGCAAAAATATTATTAATATTTAAGAATGTTTTTTCTAAAAAAAAAACTTTTGTTTAATTAAAAAATTGATATTAAATGAAATTAGAAAAAGAAACTCACTCATACTTGAATCTTATAATAAAACATAAAAATCTATACATTTTGTAGAAGACAGCGAGACTGGAGATATTGATAACGAAGCAATTAATAACTGTAATATAGTGGAAGAAGAAAAAGAAGGAGACACTAATGAAATGCCTAAGAAGAAAAGACGACAATGTAACGGTAAAAACTATAAAATATCATTTTTAGTTTAGTATAGTATAGTTGAAGAAATAAATAAATTTTATTATTTATTAATAATTTATACTTTTATTATACAGGAAGAAAAAGTTATAAGGCAACTTTAGAAAATTATACAGATAAGTGGTTAGAATCACAGAAGTTAATGTTAAATACAATGTTGGAACGACAAGAAAAAATGCAAAAGATATTCATTCAAGAAGAAATGAAAAAACAACGAGATTGGGAAAAACAAGAAATGGAAAAAGAACGAAAGTTTCAACGAGAACAAATGAATATTCTTATGCGAACCTTCTCACAGAGTATTAATTCTCTAAAACCACAAATGCCAGTTACATTAACACATAATTATACACCCTTAAAACTAATTCCTGTAAGTTTTAAATAATATTTACTAATTAATAGACATTTTTATACAAAGAGGAATGAGACATTTTTTACAATTTTAGATGGCACAAGCAGATCCTTCAGGGAACATTTTGAAGAAAATCACTGAAACTATCAAAACAACTGAAACTATTGGTAAAGAAAATTTACCAGAAACATAATGTAATACGGTGTATCGATACACCGTATTACATATTACTTTTCATCAAAGTAGAAGTTATTTTTTTTTATTTTTCGATGACTGCAATATAGTATAAGCTCTTTTCTTTTGATATTTTGTAAAGATACAAATTTTATAATGTAACTCGCCAAAATATGATTATTTACTTATAGTTTTAAAAAATTTGTTTGGCTGTAAGGAATATGTTTATTTTTATATACGTATAGTTTATTAAGACTGATAAAAAGTAATATTGTGATATATATATTTTTATAAGCAAATTAATTTATAAATCATACCTTAGAGAATTCTGTAAAGAAATAAAGCAATATAAACGAAATTTATTTAATTTTTTAATTTTATAAATAATAATAATGTTACAAAAATGTAATAATAATAATGTTACAAAAATGTAATATGCAATTGTATAGGGTTCACAATTCTACACTAAATAATAAACAGTTCTTATGGTCGTATTAATGCTTTTCTCAATGGAAAATTCTGTGATAAATATTCTTTCAAATGATTTCGCAACTCTGTACCTTGTACTGAATCTCTTTGATAATTAGTTGCACATGTTGGTTGCGGTGTTAAGAGTTGTAATTGTTCAGCTTCTTGTAACCATTCAGAATAGAATCTTTCTTTTTTGCTTTCAACAAAATTATGCAATATACAACAAGCTACAATTATTTCTGGCGCAAATATGTAGTCACAGTTAATTTGATGCAAAATTCTCCATCTTGCTTTTAATCTGCCAAAAGCCATTTCGACAGACACTCGAGCAGAATTTAAATATACATTGAAAGATTCTTGCTCTGCTGATAATGAACCAGAATATCCTTTTAAAAGCCATGGCAATAACGGATAAGCAGGATCTCCAACTATTATAAAGGGTATTTCCATTCCATTAATATTTTGAGTTTCCTAAAAAACATAAAATTGTAATATTATATAATGATATAAAGTATTATATGAGTTTTTTTATTTTCTATTTGTAAAATTATATATATAAAATCTCTCGTCCCATATATTACCTTAGGTATTATTGTATTAGAATTCTTATAAAGAGTACTATCTTTTAAAACAGCAGCATCATGACAACTTCCCGGATGTTTTGCCACAATATTTCTAAACCTATAAAAGCAATTGAAACAATGAATAAGACAAAAAAAGTTAAGATAAATATAAGAAAAAAATATTACCTTCCATTATGATCGACTACTGCTAAAACATTATATGAAGGCCATCCTTTTCTATTAACAAAATCTTTACATCCTTCACTTGGTGGAATAATTTCAATGTGAGTCCCATCAATGCTGCCAATAATTTGTGGAATACCACATTTCTCTTCAAAATTTTGAGCTATAAATTTAGCCTCCTTTTCATGAGGCATGTATATATAATTTTGAAGCATAATTTGATTAATAGCTTTAACTACTTTATATACACACTTTTTAACAGTTGATTTATGGATACCCATTGTATTGCCAATAACTCTATATTCTGCAGTGCTAGCTAATTTATATAAAGCCACAGCTATTTGTTTTTCAACAGATAAAGGTTCTCTAAGTTTCAGATATTGTGGTTTTGGTTCTAATTCATTTCTGAGTTTATTACATAATTCAGAAAAGCTGAATTTTGTCATGCGAAAACTTTCCAACCATTCTTTTGGAATATAATGAATATTCACAATTCTTTTCCAAAAATCGGAACTTCTCTCTAATTGCCACATTCTTTGATATCTTATACCTTCCATTGTTAGTGGTATTGATATAGAATTATTAATTTGTAACCACTTCATTAATAACTCATTTCTTTGTTGTAAACATAACCTCTGTAACTTTATTTTTAATTCATATCGTTTACGAATATATAAGTAATTGCCGTATATGTTTCTTCCGATTATCTTGAAGGATTTTTAAAAGTTCGAACAGAGTGGAAAATAAAATTCCAATATTATTTTCTACATTCATTTTTAATTTTTATAACGTACAAATGAATGTTCGCGTTCCGGTGATCACTGATCACGAAGCTCGTGGTTCTGACTTCTGACATTTCACTACAAACATACGTTGTGCGATGTAAACGCACTTTAATCAAACGTTTGATGCGCACTAGCTTAATCTGTACTAAAAGTCCATACGGTGTAAACAAGGCCAGAGAGACATACATGTGGTGATACTAATAGACATATATATATTTTGAACACTTAGGACTAACAATTTTACATGTAATAAGTATAGGTTGACAATATAATTATTTAACAAACATTAACATAAATGCTAACGGAATGAAAGAATATAATATCAAGATATATACGAGTATAGCGGTATGACGGAATTAATCTCTTAGCTTTTCATTAATTATAACAATATTACATATTTTAAACAATTTCGCAACAATATTATACGAACGGAATTTACAACGGAAAATCGGTAAACGGTATGCTGTTCTAACTTATTATCGCGGACACGCGGTATATACAGAAGTCACGTAAATATAATTCGAGACACGGCACGATATACAAAAAAAAGGTAACAAAGAGATAACGGCATTTTCGTGACTCTCTCGCACGATTCTCTCGCCGAGTAGAAAAATTGAAATCTTTAACACACTCGCGGAGAACGGCTGCACGCAAATTCCGAAAATCTAATAATAGAACATGTAAGGAACGTGACTTTGAATATAGCGGTAAACTAGAAGTTACGATAATCGCTCTCGAAACGATTGTTGTGTGCCTCGGGAGAGACACCAGGGGGTCACGCCAAATTGGGATGGGAATCCGGGGCGTCAGGACTTGTTCGGGTGTTTGAAGAAAATGCACTGCACTTTTCTTATTAAAAATCATTATTCAAATTCAACCACTTGGCCTTTATTTATTTCACCAATACTACACTGAAGCTTTACCGGGTGTGTGGCACTGACTTTCTATCACTCCGCGTATCGCGCACAACTGCGGGTCGATGCTAAGTGCGCGCGCGGTTAGCGAGATCGTGTTTAGAGCGATTGTTTGTGTCTGCGACTGAACGAGTTGGCGCGTCTCTACTCTCTTTTTATAATGTTGTTTTTTGGAGTTTTCCCGATCGGAAGGGGTGCCTGGCAACAGGTTTCCCCGGTCGAGAATCTAGGTGCAAGCGAAGCAGATTCAAAGTCCTTCTGCTTTGCTTGCACGTTGACCAATTTCTGTTCCGCGTATATCTCGCATTGTATGCGTTTTTAACGCGGTCATTATCTGTCGTAATTGCGGATGTAATACGAGTACTCATTTCTTAATACTAGTTACCTTTTAATAGTTATATCTATATCTTCGGGGGATATAACACACAGAAAAAAATGTAATTATAAAAAATACAGGCCGACTGACCTTACGAGGAAACTGCCAAATTAAAACAGAGGACATGACATTAGAGATAAAAGAGACGATCTACGTAGCAAACATAGACACATATTTACCAAATTTCAACATTGCACCATCACAAGACGAGGACATGAGAGTACTCTACACATTGGATAACCTGACACAACACAACATAGAACTAATAGAGTTACGAACAAAGATAAACGACATAGACAACAATTTACGAGACAACGAACAGAAATTTTATACAAAGAGACAATTTATTTACCCCATGACCTCGAGCGATTTAATAATAACCATAATCATAATATGTATTATTGTCATTGTAATTTGGAAAATAAAAAATAAAAAAGACACAAAAAGAAGACCGAGAGTAACGATACTTGACGATGACTGGAATGTACCTTGATCCATACTGAAAAGAAGCAATAGCACACGTTTTTAGAAAATAGGAAACAATTGTAATTATATTGTAAACGGGCATAAAACATTTGTAAACTTTAATTGTAAAATTTAATTGTAAAATTTAATTGTAAGCGAAAAACTACGTACCTTCGTTTTTTTTCTTTAACGGGGGAGAGATGTTATATCCCTAAGAGATATAACTATTAATGTAAAACTACTCGTATTACATCCGCTTGACGACGGACACTGACCGCGTAAAAACGCATACGCTGCGAGATATACGCGGAACCGAAATTGCTCAACGTGCAAGCAAAGCAGAAGGACTTTGAATCTGCTTCGCTTGCATCTAAGTCCTTGACCGAGGAGGCCCGTTGCTAGGCACCCCTTCTGATCAAGGAAATTCTAAAAAGCGATATTATAAAAAGGGAGCAAGAGACGCGCCCATGCAGTCGCAGTCGCAATCAGTCGCTCTCAAGACGTTCTCGCGTCGTTAATTAAAACGATCTTGCTAGCTGCGTGCGATCTTAACATCTTCTCGCAGTCGCGCGCGATACGCGAAGTTATAGCTAAATAGTGCCGCTAAATAGATATACGCACAAGTGTATCATTGTTGAAATAAAGGAAAGTCAAGTGGTAATGTGAATAAAAGTTCTTTAATAAGTGAAAAGGTGAAGTGCATTTATTAAATCAACCCGATAAAGCCCTGACGCCCCGGATCCTCATCCCAATTTGGCGCGCCCATGCAATCGCAGTCGCAATCAGTCGCTCTCAAGACGCTCTCGCGTCGTTAATTAAAACGATCTCGCTAGCTGCGTGCGATCTTAACATCTTCTCGCAGTCGCGCGCGATACGCGAAGTTATAGCTAAATAGTGCCGCTAAATAGATATACGCACAAGTGTATCATTGTTGAAATAAAGGAAAGTCAAGTGGTAATGTGAATAAAAGTTCTTTAATAAGTGAAAAAGTGAAGTGCATTTATTAAATCAACCCGATAAAGCCCTGACGCCCCGGATCCTCATCCCAATTGGCGCGACCCCTTGTGCCTTTCACGAGGCACACAACAATTTGCTTATGTAACGTCCAGACAAATTTCAAAGTCTCAATCTTTTTCAAAATTTTATTCTTTAACCTACTAGTCATGACAATCTCTAACCTGCATGAAAGACCGGTATTAACGAATATTTAATCACACATATAATTACTCATAGGTTAAAACATGTCTTCTCACGAACAATAATAAGATTGATCATTCGTTAGGAAACATAAATAAATTAGAGAATAAGCGCGCTTAAGTACCACAACAAATATAAATATACATATATATATATATCTTAACTCCCGAAGCACCTTACATATTGTACACCCCTAAATATCGTACACTATTCATATAGTCACCAATATGTAGAACTATTCTTTAGGCGATGCTTTACTGACCGACATATAACACCCTCAATACCGATCGCCGACGTTAAAGACGGAACTACTAACTTACCTACCCAAGATAAGATCAACCAATGGTAAAACAGAGACTTCACCTACCAACCACAAATGAAACTTGGCCATTAATGGCAAAATAAAAAACTATCTTACCGACTAACAATAAGACAAATTTACCATACCAATTAACGACCCACTTAATCGATCTTTAATACCATACAACCGGTCAAGTAGCAAAATACTTTACCGACAGTCGACAATGTACGAAATTTGTCCACAAATAATTTTGTCTAGCAGTATCATTGTCCAAGAATGACTATGTAAAAAGGAATCGACATACCCTAAAGGATAGTACTTAGTATAAGGCAATCTCGCTCATAAAATAGCATATTACATTAGTTGGACAATAAAGTGTGAAACTCGCTTTACTATTATGAACTCGGCTTTACTCACAAAATATTCTAGAAGCATGATGCAATGCATGATGCAACACAGAAGCAAGTAGCAACCTGCAAACCGATAACGTAACAAAGGAAGTCGGAGCGCATAGTCAACCGTCATCAATACCAAGAAGAAGATAAGATAAGTCGGAGCGCATAGCCAACAAGGCATACCACTATCACTACCGAGAATAGGATAAGGAAAGTCGGAGCGCCCGGCGATGAGTCACCAAAGGAACACCGCTATCGCTACTGAGAAGCCATCTCTCCGGGACTTAACCGACGCAATCTCTACCAAGAATAAATTATCTCCGGTACTTCCCCGGCATACCTCACTTGCCATTGGCTAAGCCGCATCGCCCGATGGGAGGAGCGAGCCACATTTTACGGTATATAAACCCTGCACCCAGCACGGAACACCGGTTGTTCCGCCAGCACAGTCAAGTTCAGTACTTCTAACAGCAGTCAGCCAACCAGCTATTACTACGGAGTTCCGAAGACAACGAGACATAGCCGCCATTTCGGACCGAAGTACCGAGGCTCCTCAGATCTTCAGACTCAGAGGGAAGAACACAGTAGCGAAGTGTACCATAGCAAGGCACATTAGACATAGTCTAACCTTGTGAGTATTTAAGCCAGTTCACATATCCCTAAATAGTAAAGCGCGGACACTCATTATATTTAATCATTTTATTTAATCAACTAATTTTAATTCAATCTTATATTACACTCCGAACTCTGAATTTTGAATATAGACATAGGCCATATATTACTCTGAATTCCTAATTTTATTTCAATTTACTTATTGCATCTGCACACGTCAGCATTACAATCGTTGACTTATATTATATTTTATCCAATACTATTCGCTATTTTTAACCAAGATCGCATACTTATTTAACCTATTGTACTTGCAATATAAATATATTCATGTATTTTATTGTATTACTGCTTACCTATATATGTATGTAATCCTGTATCCTACCGCCAATTAGCGAATTGGATAACGCTAATTCCTCAGTACACATTAAAAATTATATCCTGTCAGAAGGTACATTCGCAAGTCATCTCTGAGATGCACGTTTAGTAAAGTGAACGTCGCATTAGCCTATTAAGACAAGGACCAGAGAACCCGGCCTAGCCGGATGAACACCTATCTCTCTATTCTTTTACGCTTTTATTACCTTGCATTTTCCAATAGTTGCGAATACTTTACTACACCAACTGACAGTGATTTTGCATATTCGATTCATTGTGACAAGTGTACACCACCTTATCCTATTTACTACTTATAGAACGGTACTCTGTCATAAGGTAAATTTGTTGCTACGATTCTGAGATGCACGTTTAGTAAAGTGAACGTATGCATTAGCCTCTAAGGACCAGAATTCACACGGGATAACCGTGTACTTCT